TGTCGAAAGGGGATATCATGCGAAGTCGAAGAAGGTACGAAGAACAAAGTTTAAAAGATCACTTACGATTGAAGTTCCACGCCTCAGGGAACGACATCTTCTCTTCCGGGATAATGTCACGGGTCCTCACCCGTATAAAATGGCTCATCCAACCCCGATCCTTGTCCTCGTCGATGCTCGAGATCAAGGCCTTCGTTGCATGGCGTTAGATCCTGATTAGTCCTCGATAGATTCGAGGCCGGTACAACCGCATGAGGTGATTTAGAGTAAACTCTATCCCCTCGGCCTTGCTAGAGAAGAAGCGCAACATGATTACTATGCGCCATAGAGAGGGGTGGATTTGGCCAAGGGTGACCTGGTATCTTTTACAAAGATCAATAATCACTGGGTCGAAGAGACCCAATGTGAAGGGGTAAGTGTAAACACTTAGGAACCCCTCCACATAAATGGTGATGCTCTCTTCGGGAGCAGGAATTTGCACCACGACCTCGGGACCCCAGTTGCAGTCCCTCTTCACGGCCTCGAGGTGACTCTTTGTTATCGAGCACATGTACATCGACACATGCTCACTTCGGCCTGGGATCGATGAAGGGTTTTCGACCTTGAAGTCAAATTTTAGAGTACACGGGCCGGGAACATACTCGTGGGGAAGCAGCTCCACCGGTGCCTTGCCGTCGGACGTCCATGAAGAGGAGCAAAAAGCTTTCTCCTTCTGCGGTACGGTCTTTGAGGTTTTTGCCATTTGTATAAGTAAAGAAGAGCGAAGGAAGATGAAAAACTGGTGGTTTCAGTGCTAACGAAGATGGCTCTACAGGCGGCAAAAAGGAGGAGACGAAAAGAGTGAGAAGACTTAAAGGTTTGATTAGAGCAAAAGTAAAGTTTAATTCAATGAAGGAGCGGGTATTTATAGGCTCACGACGACGGTTCGGTGGCGCTAGTGGCCGACCGCTAACTGACAGGCATTAATGATTTGGGGAACTGAACCGACGGGACGTTTCGATCACATCCGTCACTTATGTCATGAGGACGACGTCATGATGGAGGTTTCAAAAAATCAAGGCTCAAAACGTTTCTTATCATTTTATTCCAAGAAACGCGGGGACTATCTGTATACGGTCGAAATCGTGCATGTCAGATTTCGTAGGTACGAGGAGCTGCCTCAAGAGCAAGCTCGTAATAGACCAGGCTCGGGCTCAATGGCAGAGTATGAAGCATGAAGATCGAAGTGCTCGCTGAAGATCGAGACCGAGCATGACCGACTTCGAGTAGGGCATAATAACGAAATGGCGAGATATTAGCAACCGACCGAAGATCTCGACGGAAATCTCGGAACAAATCGAATCTAGCGGTTATTGACGTCAATCATGAGATTTATTTCCGTTATTGGAATTGTACCTTATTTAGGAAATATCTACTATATAAAGAGGGACCCCATTCATTTGTAAGCGGCATTGATTCACTGATAAAGATATACAAAAATGATGCTCTCTATTTTACTTACTACCCATTACTATTCATCATTGTTTATCCTCTGCTCTTTACTGTTCTTCTTATCCCACCTCGAGACCATCTCGAATCGAGGTCGAAAGCGCTGCTAGAACACTGGTTTGATTCATTTTACTATTCAGATTATCTATTCAATTCCTTGTTTGTCAATTGATATTGGATTAAATCACGTATTCTTAAAACCACTAAATAAGTTTAATTGTTACTTGAATTTTAGGGTAAACAACGAGATCCAAGTCAACATTTTCTGCTCAAGAAACATATTCAGCTAATAGTGCTCGGTATACTTGAAACAAGTCTAATGGTATAAATGAGTTTTCAATTGACATTTACAAGAAAGAGGTATCTTTTAAATTGATAGAATCTTCTTTGCTCAACCAAAAGTTATTTAAAGTACCAAGAATCAAAATTCAAAACAGGATAGCCGACTACCAATTATCTTATGCATTTAAGAAGATATAGCAGTGCCTTCAGCTTACAGGCTACAGAGCTTAAATATGAGATGGAAATACAAAGTAGAATATTAGACGCTATGTTAGAGTAAACATGTTTCTCTAGACACAGTAGTAGAAATTATCATGTCCCCTTCACTCATATTAACAAAGGAAAAGAGAAAGCAGCTACTCAAATTTTCAGTGGAAAAGGACATGTACAGAGTTATACAAAAAATTTAATCATATAACCATTACTTGCAATAACCTACAAATGTACTCCCAACTATATAGCTCATTCAGCCTTTACCGAAAGTCTCTTCAACATACCAAAATTAGAGACAATAGTTCCTCTCGACCACCTTTATTGTGCCAAACAAAATAAGTCAAACACTCGCGTCCAAATGGAGTAAACATAATACTGCCAACTATATAGCTCTTTCAGGCTTTACTGAAAGTCACTTCTCCACACCAAAATTAGAGACAATAGCTCCTCTCAACTATATTTATTGTGTCAAACAAAATAAGTCAAACTTACCAAGAGATTACTATTTAAAAATTTGACGTGTCAGATATACTTATTCGAAAAAAATCAGATTGAAATATACGCTTTCGAGTCTCCATCAATAAATATGGTATACTTCCTCATGGCGGAGGCGCACATAATCGTATTAGAAAAAAGAAATATGATAAAGAGAAATGGACCTTGATGACGAACAGAACTTTGATCAATATTATTTCAACCACCAAAATCTTGAATGCCAAACCTCGAACAGAGCCTCTTCAAACACCCTCATCAAAATGGACCTTAACGAATAAACATCGGATTACTCTTTAAATATTTACTCACAAAGATGGTGACTTTGTAAATTGAACTTACAAATAACAAAATAGACCAAGCTCGGACACTGTATCACAGAATATCACATTAACCAAAGGACTCCTAATAGCACGTATTGTTGCTTTCGAGAAGAAATCAACAAACCAAAATGCTAAAGAAAAGCTCATGCAAGATTGAGTGGTAAATGAAATATTTATTTATTCAAGTGCATTAATTGCTTTTTAGAAACTTAATTAACAGTATAATATTCTTTTTTTTTTGTTGTTGGTTTTTCTAGCAATCTGGATAATTGATATTCGGCCAAAATGCATATGTTTACCCATTGTTACCTCATATTCTAGTACTTTTAACCATCTCTTGATTATTAATTATATTACTTTGTACTTAATATTAGATTCTAACTGTGTAGTAATAAAGCAGTGTGGAGATGAGAAGATTTGGAACAAAATTGAGTAAAACGAGAAAGAAAAAGAATGAAAAATAAAATAATTTAAAAGGATGAGAAAAAGGGGGACATTCTTTGGTGTTTGTCCCCCAAGTGGAAGACAAAAGACAAAATAAAGAGATACAATTCAAAGCCAACAGTAAAGGAATTGAACGTGAAAACTTACTAGATTCAACTCTAAGGCCCGCGCGAGGCGCTGGTCTGGACGCCGTGATTGCGGGATTTTCTAATTTTGCTTGGGACAAGGTTATTTTGGCCCTACACGATCCCAATTCGTATAAAAAGGGTCCAAAACCCAATTTGGAGGAGATCTAACATACTTTGAAGGAGAATTTACGTACGGGAACACAAACCACGCTTGGAGGAGACTTCCAACTAGTTTTTCCTGTCTTCTCTTCCTTTAACTTCATAATTTATTAGTTCTAGAGTTGTGGGGTGATACATGAATGTTGTAGTTTGAAGTTTAAATTGTTCTTATTATTTTATCATATTGGTTTATTTATCCAATCTTGCGCTTAATTATTTGATTGCATGATCACCAATTAAATACTATCTACGAATCTAGGATTGAACTCGGGAGAGGGAAATTTAGATTGCAAATAAGATTGAATCGAGCAAGATCTTGAACTCGAGCAACGGGAACGGATTTGCGGTTAGGGTAGGGATATACTTAATCGCCTTGCTTGGTTACTATACATGAATTATTAGTACGTTCTTGTTAATCCTAATTTCATAGGAATATAGGCCTTAGGTTAGTTTGAAAGGGCGAGTAGTACTTCGGGAGAAGGGTACGAGCAATATTAACCCTGTCAATCAATAAACCAGATAAATTAATTAGACGATTTAAGTGAAAAACTCAGCGGGATTGTTAGCTAACCCATAGCTCTAGAATATTTTCTCCTATTGAATTCATCTCTAAGAATGCAGACTTGTTTCCTTTAATTTCATAGTTTACTATTCTAAATTAGTTTTAGTTAAATATTCATACTTTAGAAAATCGCTTGAATAGATTAATTATCGTAGTTTAATTTTTTTGATAGTTAATCACAAATCCCTGTGAGTGATATTTGGACTTACAATCTTATATTACTTGTTGACCACGTATATTTGTATGTGTGTTTGGGAGCAACAATAATAACACAAATCATAAGGATCCTCAATTTTAAATAAACAAGGGCCATAGTCAATATGTTTAGCGGTTCCCTTTTGAGAATCTATAGTGGCATGCATTTCAAGAATAATTTTACACAAGTTTCATGACAATTGCAATAACAATTAGCATTTCTAGAAAGTTGCATTTCACCAATAGAATTGCAAAGTTTTTATTTTATTCAAAAAATCTCCGCCTAGGAATTGATATTTGGCAAAATATTTGTTTCCAATAGACCTCAATATACCACACTTAATAATCAAACTAGCATGAAAGCGTCAGAATAAAAAATGTGTAAAAACTCGAGACAAACTGGAAAACAAACTGAGCAAACTTATTTGACACCGATATACAATCACAATTTATTTATATTTTGAGAAAAACTAGTTATAGTCATTTTGGCAGAGGCAACTTCACTAAACTACACCAAAGCAAAAGACCAAAAAAAAACTAAAAAAGGTTGAGACAAAATAATAAAAAACAAATTAAAAATCGGTACGAAACTAAGCTGTACTAATCATAGAGAAAACAACAAAAAACTCTTCGCTAAAACTCTTTTTAATTCTTTTACTAACCGGCCAAAGATCCCTAAGAACTAAGCAAACACCAGCAAGGAAAGAACAAAAATACACAAAAGCTGAGAAAACACATATTTACAATAGTTAAAGTTCAAATTACAGTAGCATAGATTAAGCAGAAGATTTTACCAATAGTAGATTCCTAAACAGATTTGCTACAGATTGTGAAGTGTCGCTAGTAACGGATATAAAATCGGTGCTATTTGTATATTATGCTCCTTTTCAGATCTCTAACGACATATCTCTTATGCGTAAAAGTAAATCTCTTACGACAGATTATAGCATTACTGTAGTAAATCTCTTACTACAGTAAATCTCTCATGTATGCAACACATTCAGACAATGTATGTTAGGCAGAATAATGATTTGTTTCAAGCCCTGAAATGATAAATTTGAATGTTTTCAACATCATGCTTCTTGAAATTGCTGTCCTTCCGCATTGTGAAAAAATTCCCCCAGTTATATGCCTTATATTTTGCAGGATTTTTCTCAGTCACCAGCTCCTCCAAGGGCTCGACCCATGTATAGTGTGCTGGGTTGAGGAAGAATGGAATTGAAAACCTTTCTCTTTCAGAGTTCACCATCACCCTATGTTCCACACTTTCATATTCTTCATTGCTCCAAACCTGTATAACCGTTGCCATAGACCAATGACGGACGATTTAACTTTTATACATCGATTGTGTAAAACAATTTCTATCCTATTAGGTCCCTTAGAAAAAAACTACAGGTTCTCGAAAATACAATAGCCAAGTTAAAGGCGGATTCAAGATTATAATTTGATTGGTTCGATCTTTAAAGTTCTTAATATTAATTCACTATACTGTAAGTTCAGATATAATATTTGTTAAAATTTTAGTAGGTTCACGTATAAATTTATACCGCACATCCAGAATACTAGGTTCGGATGATCCCAGTACTGAAGGACCAGATCTGCACCTGCAGACAACCTACTATACAACCTATTAGATTACACTAGTAATGAAAAATTATTATATTGTCGGTGTATATATCATTAATCCATTACGTACTAATGATTCTATTTCTGTACGTTCAAAATAAATTGTAAAGCAACCAGTTCAATAAGTGTACCTGGATAAGGTCTCCAATATTTATAATATAAGCATTAGGAGTGGGTTTGACTCTAATCCATTCTCCATCTTCTTTATTCTTTACTTCAAGTCCTCCAACATTATCTTGAGCAAGTATAGTGAGAGCCCCAGCATCCTTATGTCTACCAACTCCTAAAGCCAGATGAGGGATAGGACAAGGAGGGTAGTGATTCAACCTAACAAAACTAGTTTGGTCTTCATTAAAGAAACCATTCAACCTATTTGCAGGCAAGCCTAAGCTGAGAGAGATGAGCTCCAGTAATTTGTAAGATAGTTTTTCCATTTCTTGGACATACACTTCACATACCTCCCTGGAAATGAACATAGTAGTAGGTATTAGTATGCATGTCGCTTTAATTAATTTGTTGATCAGCATATTACTATTACTACTACTTAATAGCAAGCACCTCTTGGTCAACATGCGCTTGGCAATTTAGAGGATATTATGGTCATTTCAATTACAATGGAATAATATGATTGGTCAAAAAAGAATCTTACTGTAGCTACTGTATAAACTTACGATTGATTTACCTAAACCGCCCTTTGCTTATGTCATTGCTCATCGCCCTTAATATGCATAGCTTTGGAAATGTGGGCCATTCTGACCATTTATTCTACATGCCATGCGTTTATACTTTATAGTAGCATCTGAAATTGCCACTTCCTATCACGTGGACCCCTCGTTTAATGTTTCAAAGTTAAAACTTTCAACACACCTTACATTTATGAAATTGTCCTAGAGTATCAAATGGCTTATGTCATATTAAATATATTACATATCAGCTTTTTTTTTTCCAGCTATATTCTAACCCAAAGTACATCAATTTTAATTTTCCTTCCAAAAAAATTTGTTATTATTCTGTGTGCACATTTTTGTATTACTTGTAGTCATTTTGCAAAACTTTTGTGGATGAAAATATTGAATTAGTATTTTGATGTCCAAACCTATTACTCCTATCAGATTTTAATTTTAGTTTTGGTTGGAGTAAAAAATTGTTTCTTACAATAGATTGTAGAAAATTTATCAAAAATGAAACAAGATAGAAACCTAATACAATGGAAGTGATACAAGGTATTTATTGGAGTAAAGAAAATTACTTTCGTAAAAATAAATTATAGAAAATTTATCAAAAATAAAACAACATACAAACCTACTCTAGACGTAATATAAGACTATTCCAAATGAAGTGAACATTTTTATTCAATAATTTATAATAAAAGAAAAATGAATTATGCACACAACAGCGATATGAAAAAAAATCTAAAATGATTGATGAGCAGGCAAAATCCATTAGTTTAGTATTATCAAGCGACGTGATTAACTTGGTGCAAATTTAGTGTAAACATTGCCGGAGGTATTAGTTTCTTTACAATGATATTAAAGATAAATTTCCTAATCAAATAAATAGAAGAAGGACATTTATTATGCTAACGACTTTTATAAAAATTAAGCAAAAACCTAAAAGAATTACAGAAGAATTAAGAGAGAAAAAAGGATTTAATTGGGATCCAAGGGCATTGATATATCTATAAAAAGAATAATAAAAATATTAAACTATATGCCTTAACTTGAGGAAAAAGATGTTTTCATTTCAAAAAGTTGAAACACAAAAACAAATAATCACCTTGCTTGTAAAAATGATAAGTAAATCTTCATGCTATCAACGGAGAAGGGTTAAAAATGCTCCTAAACTATTGAAAAAGATTTAAAAATACCCTTCATCCATTTATTGGGATAAAAATACCCCTCCATCCACCTTTTTGGTTCACTTATGCCCTTTGACCGTTAGGTCAATGCTGAATTAAAAATAATAATTATTTAAATTCCACGTGATAACTTCTTATTGGTCGAAATTAAAATATCTAACCTATTAGAAAGACCCACCCATATCTACCCGTTTTTCGGACTAACTCGCCCCAAATACTAACCCGACCCGAATAAAAAGTTCAACTACAAAAAATACGTCACACTTCCATCTAACTCTTTTTTGCAGTTGAACTTTTTATTCGAGTTAGATGGAAGGATGACAGCAATAACCCTTACTATTTTCATCATGCTTATCTTAGATTTGTCCACCTTTATGCCACTAAAAGTTAAAAGAAATGATATAATATGAGTGACAATTTCCATTAGTTATGATAGTGCGAATTTCCAACAACTATAAGCAGTAGCATTACATCTGTGTGAAATATCCTTACCTCAACATGTTGGTGAGTAAGCATTTTCCTAGGTTTGGTAGCTTCTTGATATTTTTTAGCAGTAGCATTACACCAGGGCTAACAGATCCTAACTAATAAGCCCTATCACCCACATAAGCTGAAAAATTATTTTCTCCAATTCAGTGCTAATTCTGTTTGTTGCATTGGCATTTATTCAACGACTTTCTCTGCCTCTTGTAGTTTCCCAGATTGGTCAAGAAAGTCCACTAGTGAAGCATAATTTTGATCTCCTGGTTTCCTAATGTGCTTTTTTTACAGCAGTTAACCCGGAGTTAGATGGAAGTGGGGCGTCCTTTTTTAGTAACTTTTTATTCGGGTCGAGTTAGTGTTTGGGGCGGGTTAGTCCGAAAATGGGTAGATATGGGTGGGTCTTTCTAATAGGTTAGATGTTTTAATTTCGACCAATAAGAAGTTGTCACGTGGAATCTAAATAATTACTCCCTCCGTTTCAATTTATGTGAGTCTATTTCCTTTTTAGTCCGTGCTAAAAAGAATGACCTCTTTCCTTATTTGGAAACAATTTACCTTTATGCAATGATTTATAGCCACACAAAATATATGTGCCTAATTTTACACCACAAGTTTAAAAGTCTTCTTTCTTTTTTTTAAACTCCGTGTCCAGTCAAATGGGTTCACATAAATTGAAACGGAGGGAGTATTATTTTTAATTGAGCATTAACCTAACGGACAAAGGGCATAAGTGAACCAAAAAGGTGGATGGAGGGGTATTTTTAGCCCAATAGGTGGATGAAGGATATTTTTAAACCTTTTTCAATAGTTTATGGACATTTTTAACCCTTTTCTGTACTATCAATGTATATAAATTAAGAATTATTTTTACTCTTGCTCATTATCTCAACTTAAACATAGTGTTATTGGGCCCATGCGCAGCATATTTAGACATTTTCCTTCAATTCAAATGGATAATATGAATCAGAATCCACATTAATATTCTATATAATCTAACAACAACTTATGACATGATATTTGTGAGAAGTCAACTTTAGTAATTGTTTCAAACTCACCTTGATTTATTCCTTTCGAATAAGATATGCTTCAATTCATAAAATAATTGCCAAACACGCAGAATTTACATTGAATTCCATCCCCAAAGGCTAATAACTATAATTACCATTAATAGTCTTATTAGGTTTGAAGAACCCTAAGTTTAAGTTTCTAATTTTTCTAGAGTTATGATGATTTTAGTTGAATAATACGATTCCATCTACTATTGTCGTTTATAAATCCATAAAGATACTCGATTCGAGTTAGAGTTGAAGACCCTAGCTGTAACCCTTGTTCAAGTTTGTTGTTAATTTTCTTGATATTCAAGGATTTAAAAGTGTTTCCTTGGTGTTAATGTTATGGGTTAAACTCAATTTGGTAGTGGGAAACTTACCTTACAAGTCAAGGAAGATCCTTGGTGAAATAGCTCTTCAAACGTTCGGATGGTTATGCCAAATTATGAATGGACAAACCCTTCCTCGAATTATTTTTTTATAGCATTTTCTGGGCCTGGGAACTTGCTGTGGGAAGCACAACTGTAGTACCAGGCAAATATGAAATTTTTTCGAGATATCGTCTGAAGCACAGTTATAGCGTCAGGCTGTAACACCCCGAAAATTTTTGAAGAACTTAAGTGTAAAGCCCGGTAAAATTTACAAAGAAAATAATTATGTTTCATGGTGCTCGGACCTTTTGGGTTGAACAATGCACGGAAAAGTAAAGAAAAAATTTTGGCGAAAAAGTGCATTTCTGCGGTCCATTATGCGACCGCAGAATCACTATGCGGATCGCATAATGGCCGCAGAGTGAGGCAGTTAATTGGGGTCAGTTGGAAGCAATTATGCGGTCCACTATGCGACCGCATAACTGTTATGCGGTGTACTATGCGACCGCAGAACAGTTATACGGACCGCATAGTGACCGCAGACTCAGGCAGATTTCTGGTCATTTTGGACACCAATTATGTGACCGATATGCGGTCCGTATAACTATTATGCGGTCGCATATGCGAACGCAGAACCTGTTCCGGAACTTCATTTTTGGGTTTTTAAAACCCGACCTTATTTCGTTAAATACACTCTTTGGGCCATTTTTGAAGTATAATCTGATATTTTAGAGTGAGAGAGAGTGCCCTAGAGTGAGAAGGTGTCTATAATTGATTCTTCAATTCTTGCTCAAGTTTTGGAAGATTAAGGAGGAAAACTCACTAGGTCTTCATCGTAGAGGTAAGATTCTACACCCTAACTCTCAATTTCGAATTTTGTCTAGAAATGAGTAATAAGCAAGATAATTTCTGGGCAAGTGGTGTTTATTTTACATGCATGTGTTATCAAAGGGTGTAGAAAGATTGTTGAGCTAAAAATGATAAAGATTGGGTTGTGGGATGATGGAATCCTCCATAAAAGGACCTTGAATCTTAATCCACACTTAGTGTTTGATAAAATGCCCAAATGAGCTGAGACCATGAATATCTTCCTAATTATGGTTCAATTTTGTTATGTCTCAAATAGATTGAGATTGCTAGAATTTTCGAAACGTTGTAGTAATTTAAGGAAAGCTCAATTGAGGTGTTGGCTAAACTTTCTCTCTTTGAATTGAATTCCATAATGTTTCCGTGAGTTTCAAAGTATGGGCTGCGTAGTAATATGTGGTGGCATTGAATCGCATTTCAAACGAAAGCTAGTATGCCAAATTGTGTGAGAAAATCTCAATATTCTAAGACTCTTAATTGCTCATATGTATACCTAAAGTCTTGATTGGGAATGTCTTATTGTTGATAACCTATAAAGATGGTTGGAAGTGAAATCAGTAAATTGGGAATATAAAGTGTGGCCAACGTGCCAATAGTGAAAGTTATACTTGTTACCAATGGTGCCAATGAATGAAATAATGTGAAAAAGATTATGAAATGAGCTTTGACTCAACTATTCCAAAATTGACTTC